AAGGCATAAAGCCTACGAAACCCGATCCTCCTAAACATATAAATAGGAGTAGATAGGGTTCAAACCATCGGATAAATATACAGTCACGAAGTGGACCGGAATATTCATCTTATACATTCATATTAGGCCTTCAAGGTCTATAGCAAAAGAAATTCATTTCAAAGGCACAAAGCCTACGAAACCTGACCCTCTATCGGCAAGTCGATAGGATCGACAAGGTTCAATCCAAAAATGGAAATGATCCAAGGCACCCCGATGATGGCCGTGTTGAATGCAAATCTCAACCGGAGGGGTCCATTCCAAATATCACTCAAATGCCACCCAAATACTCAAAAAATCCAAAATTCTAGAAATTCCAAAATCTCAAAAATATTTAAAATTGAAATCTAACCATCAATTGCTTAAAACAAAATCCTTCCACCATCCGCAACAGTTTGTCGAGGTGGACAAATTAAAAAACCACTTCAGCTCACATAGAGCAAAATGCCTAGTCAAAAATATCATTAGGATCCATTCTCAAACAACCTCCTGCTAGTAAGGACGTGGTACGTGTCCTCTAACCGGCGGTTTTGCCGCCAAATGGCATCGCAGGATAAACGGTTATGACCCGGGACCATTTGAACCGAGTGATTTTGCCGCTAAATGGCACAACGAAATACCGGTTATGGCCAGCGCCGATATGTTCCTTAATGGCATTAAATCCTTGAGATATGAATCAATAGGATATGATTGATAGGGCACAAAGCCCTCTGTTAGCTAAGGTGGATTCAAATTTGTCCCCTTAGAGAAACATTCACCCCAGGTCTACAAGGTACCCTTGGACGAAGCAACCCATGGCTGCCGACAAGGATCTTTCTGTCAGGTTGGGTCGACTACCTCCTCTAACTAAGTAGATCAGGGACCACGATGGCCCGGGACAACGGAACCATGGGATCTTGATCGGGTCTATCATCCATTCCCCCACCATCCGCTTTAAGTGTAAGGTGGTGAAATTTCTATTTTAAATATCAAATTTTCCTAATTCTCAAATTCAAAATCCAATTCTCAAATCCAAACCTATGCTGTTACTATATACCAGATAACACATATTCTCTACGTATCTGATTGACGACTAGCCTTAATCAAAAGTTCTCTCCCGTGATCGGGAGAGGTAATTAACTATAGGGGCTTGCGCCTATAGGAAACCAGAACTCAGATCATAAAGTCCTCACAAAATGAGGGCGAAATCTCTGAGTAGTATCTTATCTACAAACCTATCTGCCTTCCAAAATTTACCCGCAACTTTATTCCGTTAAAACTCTCTCGCCATACAAAAAGCAATCACAGTGCGGGCAGAGGCCGAGGCCGAATTTTCGGAGCCCACATACATCTTCTATCATTAATGATGTGAACCTTTGATAGGGGCTCATGATTACATCTCGTATCATATGTGAACCTTTGCACGATACCATCTTCTTGCACGGAATGGTGCTGTTGAGAACCTCCATTCTGATTCATCTTTTCTAAGATAAAGGCTTTTTCATAAGAAATGGCTCATACCAGCATATCCTTGACTTGCATGTTGACTTAGAAGAGTTCTTGTTCTCCACATGGGTTTTCTCATTTTCGCAGGCCATTAGTTATGAAACTTGTAGGTTGACTTGATCTATAGCTAAGGCAAATCAACTTCATCACTAAGGATGTACTCATTTTTTTCTTTATAATCCCTTTCATTTGACTAGAGTTAGGTGTAGAAAAGCTCCAATTCCTTGATAATTTATTATGGAGTCCCACAAGATTCTTCATAAAGGTGGTACACCGATTAAGTATATTTCTATTACAATAGCTTTCCTTAGAACTGTGGTAGCTCATACACGCCATGACTTTGCTACAATTGTTGTCATCAGATCTACTTCTCTTATTTGTTACTAATTGAATCAAATTTACTCTTCAAGTGTAGTTGAATACTTGAATTCATCCCAATACAATATTAAAATATAATTGGTCTTTTCACGAGTTCCACCCATACAAGTAGATGGGAAGTAACTTTCAATCAATGATATTTATTGTAAAATGGAGTAATCATTAGATTAAAAAACAGATTTTTAGTTGCTCCAAGCAATTGTTGATGTTACCAGGATTAAATGTCGTATAAGTATAGCTTTCCTCAAATTTGAAAGATTAATGCTTTACTTCTTTCGAAGTTCTCTTGATGGATGCATCTTTCATTTCTTCACCGATCACCAGCCTTCTCCTTTATTTTATTGGCCAATAATACCAATTTGATATGGCTGTCCTCTTGGAAAGAAATCTCTGTTGGTACAGGTTGAGCGGTTTGTTAACAAGGTGCTTGCTCTATTGCTGTTGGGATTATTATAATTAGGTATGCGAGACGAGATTCAAGTTTTGTTGCTGAAGAGTTATACCTTTCAAGTCACATGAAGGCAGTAGGGTGATCCTAACAGTTATAAAATGACTCTTGGTTCAGACTTCCCTTGCTCTTGCTTCGTAGCATTCCTAAGTTTTTGCCATCTTTCTATTTGGTCTGCAGCAAGAACGTTTGGCTTTGATATAAACTTGACACAAATTGAGGGGGAATGCTCAAGCGGCCGTTCAAGAAAATCCATTTAATGTGGAAGAGATGTATGGTGGGAAGGTTGTGGCTAGTAAGTGGGAAGCACAAGCTTATAGATTATGAGAGTAGATGGAACTTGGTAGAAAAAATGAGAAAATTTGAATTTTATTATTGCAGGAGGAAATTTGCTAAACTGATTATGTTTGGTTCTTCATTTTATCAAATCATTCTAGTAAGGTGAGGACTCCTTTTTGCCCCAAGGAGTTTCTATAGGTTGAACAGGACTATTGTTCTGTTGTTGGATTTCCCTTTTAGGGAGTTCTCAGGTAGCACATAGAGGGAAGTAGAAAGACAATGGACTAGTTCAGGAGGAACTAATTTGATTTTTCTATCATCAAAATATGTTTATGAGGGTTGATTTTTTTTTTTTGGAAAATGTATGAGGGTTGTTATATATAAGCAAATGGCAACAGTAAAAAGCCAGCAAAACCCAATAAAATACAAGAAAATTAAAGATACATTTAAATCTCCCTATTCTATTTTTGAAAACTGGATAATATATAAGATTTAATGAGATGCCTTGGAGCTATCTTAGAAATCTGTTCCTTGCTTGTGGGGACGACACAGCTATATCCAACCTATCCTAATACCATCCCAAATCAATCAATACACTGCCTCCTTAAGTTGTTCATCTTTTGTGGTATTCAGTGGTAATAGTGTGCGTTGGTGCATTCTTGATGTTTCCCCATTGTAGCATTGATATAGCTACCTTCTTAAATTGGTTTATAAGATTTTGAGGTTCTTGAGACCCTCTTGGATGCATTCTTAAAAGCAAAGTTCATTTGCATGCACACTATGGCCTGTGACTTGAAACATCAAGCAGATAAAATAGTGAAAATAATAGAATAATTGTGAGTTTCTGTAGTTGGTGGAGACTTTAGTGGCCAACAAGTTAAGAGGTTACGGTCTTGTTAGTTTAAAATAAAATGGTTTTCTGTTATTTGAAAATGTAGTATTTGTTCAGTTTGCAGTTTTAGCATGGTAAACTTTTAAAAAGCCTATCATATTGTAGCAAACCATACACAAGCAAAACTAAAGGTTGAAATATGCTTGTATTATTTTCCTTTTCTAGATGTGCAACAATTTTTTTTAACTCTCAATAGCCACCAAGATATTTTTAATAAGGTTTTGACTGGTGTTATAAAGAGCTCTAAGTTCTCTCAAGGCGATATGGTTGCCTATTGCTTGATGCACTAGTTGCCACCCTAGATGTTTGCATGAACAAAATGAGGTGTTATAAAGAAAATAGCTATATTTGTATAAACTAATTTTAAGTATGATGAATGCTTTAGTTTTGAAGCATGAAATCATCACATTAAAATAAATGGGAAAAATTATGGATTCTTAGGTTTATCTTATTTCTAAGTTCAGAAGTCTTCATAAGTAGGTTAATTTAGACATCCCCAATGAACTATTTGTGTCTATAGGATGTATAGCAAAATTTTGACTTTCATTGGCAAATTTTTTTTTTTTAATTAGGTTTTGGCGGGTGTTATCAAAAACTCCTATGCTCTATGAAGGCGATATGATTGCCATTACCTGATGCACTAGTTGCTACAAATAAATTGAGGTGCCATAAGTAAATACCTACAATCTAAATTTTAGTATAATAATTTTTTTTTTAAAGTATGCCATATTATATTAAATGGGGAATATTATGGAATTTTAAGTTACATTGTATTCCAAATTTAAAATTTTTGGCAAATAGGTTATCTTAAATGCCCACAATAAACTATTTTTGTTGTAGGTTGTGTAGCTTAAAAATAATCTAATCTTTGCTATTTATTAAATCTTTGTTATCATCATTGGTCTCTCTTTCTTCTCTAGATTATAGACCTCCTCCATCTCTTCCTTTCTTTTCACTTATCTAAAGCTAGCTCATCTTTCTGTTAATGTATTTTCACTTATCCCTCCAATCAAGGTTGTTTACTAGCCCCCTTGGTTGACGACATAAGGCAATGCACTCGCATATGCATGCCTTAGTAATGGTACCCACTTAGAAGGTGAGCTAAGCATATGTTTTCTTACCTTGCCTCGCCGAGTACTGGGATCACCTTTAACAACACTTGTTTTGATTCATTGATTATTAATTTGCTGCTTTTAACCGAAGAAACGTGGTACTTGCTTTCTTGCTTTCTTTTTTTCTTATGGATTTATGGAACAAATTAATGACTTATCCTGAAATGATGGCAAATTCTGATACCCAGCAGAGATTATGAGCGTCCTAATGGGCATCATAGTTAGCTATCTTCAGTTAGCTCGCAATTCTGAGATACTCAAGTTCTTCTTTCTTCTGAAATTATCAAAATATTGTTTACAAACATTTTCTTACAATTTTGTAGCAATTGCAGCTTAAAGGTTTTTAATCTACTGTTTCTCTTTTCAGGCCCTTGATACTCTAGGAAGTACGAAATGGAGAGTGAACAGAAGAATCCTTGAAGTAGTAGAGACTATTTGGAGTGAAGGTGGAGGTGTTGCAGGTTTAGTTGATCGTGAAGATGTGAGTAACTCAAATTGGTTTCTTCTTGTGGGCATTTTGACTTTTTTTTTCTTTTTCATAATTTGGTTTTCTCATATTTTTGGAGCATTGTAGATAATTTGATCGTGAAGATGTGAGTAACCTCATTCTCCGATAGCCATTCTATTGTTACAGATGTATTGCGTGACTTTTATTGCAGTCTACGGATAGGAAATACCTGTGAAAATAGAAGAAATCCCTTTTTGAAATCATTATTCAGCAACTTGAAAATTAGCTTTTGACAGGAAAGTAGAGGAATAACTATAGGGACACTCTTTATTTGATAGTAGATGAAAGAAAGCAAGCAAGATACAATGGATCTTCAATTCGAGAGGAAGATCCGGCTCTCTCAATACCTAGCCGGTGGCTAGAGCCCAAACAAACCTAAGAAGACTCTCAAATTATGCAAACAACCAAGATAACCCTAATCCTAGGCATTCTTATCTATTTAAAGCATACAAATACAACGCCAATTTACTAAACAGCCATCCCTAATTTCAAATCCCTCTTAAACCACCCCTCTTCATTTTTTTATTCAAATAGTAGGCCCCACAAGGGGGTGGGCTGTTTCCTTGGCCCGCCTGGCATAAACAAGGGGCCGGCCCTTGTGCTGGGCCGGCTAGACAGGTCCATCTTGGACCGGTCTAACAATACCCCTTCCAAAGAATCACTTTAGCCTCAAGGTGAAAGGATGAAAATGAAGCTTCATTTTCTCATATGGCTCCTATGTTGCATCGTAGTTTGGTAAGTTCCTCCATTTGGCCAACACCTCCTTGATCCCCCCTTTTCCCTATCGTATCCCTTTTAACTCTAGTGGTTCCAACACCACTTCCAAATTCTCAGTTAGTGTCACCATTAACTCTGAGCTAACTAAATGATTCCCAATTGCTCTCCTCAATTGTGGCATGTGGAAAATCGGATATATGGTAGTGGTCGAGGGTAACGTCTAGCAACAAGTCATTGCTCTAATCATCTCCAATACCTCGTAATGGCCAAAGTACCTTGGGGTCAGTGTCTCATTCCTTCTATTGGATACTGTCCTCTATCTGTAAGGCCACAACTTCGAGAACACCATATCCGTAACTACGAATTGGATGTCCTTCCTGTGCTCATCCGCCTGCTTGTTCATAATTTACTGAGTCCTCAGCAGGTGCCTTTTTAATTCGTCTTTTACTTTATCCCTTTCCTTCGAGTACTGCTCTATTGAAGAGACTGGTGTGCTACTCTTTCCAAAATGCACCAAGTGTGGACAGTCTCTTTCGTACAACACTTTGAAAAGTGTCATCTGGGAAGCTGAGTGGTATGATGTGTTGTATCAGTACTCCTCCTATGCTAGCCACTTGGCTCACAAACGAGGTGTCTCTAAAGAAAAACACCGCAGGTAAGTCTCCAGGCTCCTGTTTACCACCTCCGTCTACCCGTCTGTCTGAGGCTGGTAAGCGTTGCTTCTCTTCAACACTGTTCCCTGCAGCCTGAACAACTCTCTACAAAAATGACTAAGGAACGCTTTATCCTAGTCAGAAACTATCAACTCCGATATTCCATGGAACTTGACCACCTCTTTGATGAATGTTGCTGCCATTGTAACTGCCATGTAAGGGTGTCGTAAGGGAAGGAAGTGAGCATACTTGCTCAATCTGTCAACTATCACTAAAATTAGTGTAAACTCCTCAGATCGGGGTAGCCCATCTATAAAATCCATAATGACCTCCTCCCACACTCTGTCTTGAAGAGCCAGGGGTTGAAGTAATCCCCCTGAAGCCATAACTATGTACTTATTTCTTTGGCATACCTCACACCTAGCCACCATCCCGTCCACATTCTTATGTATATCCCCTTCCAATACAATTCTGCTGCTAATCTTTTGTATGCCTTCTGCACATCAGAATTGCCTCCAACAGCACTTCCATGGAATTCCTACATCAGGTGGGGAATATGAACTGTGGTCCGTGGAAGCACAAACCTCCCTTGGTACAGTAATCTCTCTCCCTTCAGGGAATAGCATGAGTGGTTACTCTCATCCCTCAGTAGATCAATTTTAATCTTCCTCATCTCCTTATCCTGCACACTTTCCTTTTTGATAGCCCCCAATCTACCATCAGTGTTATCGAAATGGCCATCTCCCGGAGCTCCCCCATATATATAGATAAGGCATCAACCGCCTTGTTCTCTAATCTTAACATGTACTGGATCTCAAAGTCATAGCCCGGCTTTGACAGTCATCTCTAATGCTCCTTGGTCACCATCTTATGCTCTAACAAGCATTTCAAGCTCATTTGATTGTCCTGATGATGAAATGTCGACCCAACAAGTAAGGTAGCCACTTCTGAATCACTAAAACGATGGCTATCAACTCTCTCTCATAGATTGACTTCAGCCTAGCTATGACCGTTAATACTTGGCTGAAGTAGGCTATGGGTCATTGATTCTGCATAAGCATTGCCCCTAATTCGTACCCGAAGGCATCATTTTCTACTACAAAAACCTATTTGAAATTTGGTAGGGCCAACATCGGTACTATGGTCATGGCTTGCTTCAATCTCTCAAAGTCCAGGTAGTTGCCTCCCCCACAAGAAATACTACTTTGTCAGTGACCATGCTATTGTAATGTATCCTTTCACAAATCTTATTTAATATTCCGTCAATCCTAGGAACCCCATCATTTCTCTCAGGTTCCTAGGTAGACGCCATTTTAGCATTGCCTCAATCTTGGCTTTATCGATGGGTACTCCCTCTTGAGATACCATGTACGCCAAGTACTCCACATTGGCCTGTGCAAAACAACACTTCTTTATCTTGGCCCTCAACTGTTGCTCCTGTAACACCTCTAAGATCACCCTCAAGTGCTCTAAATGCTCCTCCTCTGACATGCTGTACATAGGATGTCGTCAAAGCAAACTTCCGGAGGTATGATCTGAATACCTGTTCATAAGGGACTGGAAAGTAGCAGGGGCGTTGGTGAGGCCGAATGACATCACTAAGAACTCGTAGTATCCCTCGTGTGTCCATAAATGCAATATTATGGACATCATCTTCTCTCATCCTGATCTGATGGTATCCCGACTTCAGATCCATCTTGGTGGACACCACTGCTCTATACAGCTCATCGATCACCAGATGGGGAACTTGTCCGACAGAGCCTCCTTAGTTAAGGCCCGGTAGTCCACACAATCGCCAAACTCCCATCTTTTTCTTGAACAATAAGACTGGGCTAGAAAAAGGGTTCGCACTTGGCCTGATGATCCCCACCTCCAACATCTCTCGGAATAGCTTCTCAATCTTGTCCTTCTAAATTTGAGGGTAGCGGTAAGGCCAAACACTAATCGGTGATACTCCCTCTCTTAAGGTGATGACGTGCTCCTGCTTGGTGGTGGCCTTGAGGTGGTTGAAATACCTCATTGAACTGTTGTATGAGTGGCTGTTCTGGAAGGGGAATGCCCCCCTTCTTTCATTCTAATCCCCTCAAAGCTCTGTTGCTCCACCAAGAATTCTTCTCCCACCTACTGTATAATCCTTACCATGGTCTTGAGAGACACCATGGCTTTGGACAATACTGCATCTCCCCTCTTATCACCATCCTTCCTCTCTCCATCATCAGCTCCATCATCAGTGCTTTCCAATCGACCTTGGTATCCACCAAGGTCTGTAGCCATTTCATCCCCAGAATGACATCAGTGCTCCATAACTTCAATGGGAGGAAATCCTCCCTCATTTGGACCCCCCTTTATAGTCAATACCACTCTCCTAGACACTCCTTTGCCCGTCTCCTCTTTCCCAGTGCCCATCATCACCCCATATCATCCTATGTCCACCAATTTCACCCCCAATTGGTCTATGATCTAGTTGTAGATGAAATTGTGCATAACCCCACTGTCTATTAGCACCATCTCCTCTCAGTCTTCTATTTCTCTCTTCACATTCATGGTGTGATTTGGCGTGAATTCCACCACCGAGTTCAAGGAGACTTCCGTCATATCAAGATGAACCCCACCCTCCCTTCTAGTAATGCCTCACTTCCACCTCCCTCCTCAGCTTTCTTATCATTGCAGATGGTGAGAACTTGAAGAGTTTGGTCCTTGCACCTGTGTCTCGATGTATACTTCTCATCACATCTAAAGTACAACCCCTTAGGCTTCTTCTCCTGCAGTTCCTTCTCAGTGAGCTTCTTGAAATTTCCCCGATTCCCTCTCTTATGTGCTTCTTCTTTGGGGCCTCTTGTAGACCACCTGGTGTCGTCCCCTTTGGTGCTAAAAATATAGTGATCATCCTGTATGAGTTTCCTGAGCTGCTACTCATGGCCCCCCTCTCCAGATGCTTCTGGTCATCCACCAACTATGTTATATCTATAGCCTCTCCCAAGTCACGAGGCCTCATCACTCTAACTGCTGCTTGGATCTCCGGTTTGGTACCTTTCATGAAGTTTCCCTCTAACATGGTCTCATAAAGCAAATCCAGTTTGCTAGTAAGATACTTGAACCTCTCCCGGTACTCTACCATCGATCCCTCTTATCAATACGAAAAACTCCTCATAGAAGTCCCCCTCCCCTGTTGGTTTGGAAACGTTCCAACAAACAGTCAAACTCGCTACAGTTCTGTATATGTCGTCTCATGTCTCTCAACTGGTACCAAGCCAAAGCCTTCCCTTCCAAACATAGGCCAACAGTCGTCAACCTCTCCTCCTCTGTTAATCCATTGATAGTGAAATACATCTCTACATTGTAGATCCACCTAGTGCATCCTCTCCCACAAAGATAGACATCTTCAGCTTCGTCACCCTCAGATCTCCTCTATTTCCTCTGAATCCTTCATAACCTCTCATTTCACGAAGGGGTGGGCCTACGCAAGTGTCCCGATCCTCTCTTCTGCGCTCGTACCCAAACCCCTCTTCAAATCTTCTCTCATTCTATCGCAATCCTCACCCCTACGCTCAAAATATGCCCCTCTTCTTGCAAAACCAACACTCATCCTTTCATTCCTACTACTCATCTCCTATTTAGAAATAGGCTCTAGGGGAGGCATCCCATCTCCCCCCTCCAAAATCTCAACCTCTTAGTTTTCTCCTCTCCTTAGCGGATTAGGGTACTGCCACTTCGTTGGCTACCGATGGATCCTTTCGCCTCGAACATTGTCGTTTTGGGTTGGGCCTCCTGCAGCTTCCTTAGTATTTCTTCCACGATGACAAACTTCTCATCTATCTTCTCATGAATAAATGAAAATTGATTTTCGAATTCTTAAATTTTCTCCACAAAATCTGATTTTAATTAGCCTAACTCCCCTTCCAACTTTTACTTTCCTCTCGGCCTTTGGTAACCTTGGATCGAAGCGCTCTGATACCAATTTAATGGGAAATACTGGTGAAAAATAGAAGAAATCCCTTGCTGAAATCTGTACTCAGCAACTTGCAAAACAGCTTTTGAGAAGAAAGTAGAGGAATAACAATAGAGACACTCTTTATTTGATAATAGATAAAAGAGAGCAAGCAAGATACAATGGATCTTCAATTTGAGAGGAAGCTCTGGCTCCCCCAAACCTAAGAAGACTCCCAAATTCAACAAACAACCAAGATGATCCTAACCCTAGGCAGTCACATATATTTAAAGTATACAAATACAACTCCAATTTACTAAAGAGCCCTCCCCAATTTGAAATCTCTCCTAAACTGCCCCCTCTTTTTTTTATTCAAATAGTGGGCCCCATAAGGGGGCAGACTGCAGCCTTGGTCCGCCCTGCATGAACAAGGGGCCGATCCTTGTGCTGGGCCGATTGGACCAGTCTAACATCTACCCTTGTTAATCACTCAGAATTAATGAGGTTTAGAAGAAATTCTAGCTGTTATCCATTTTGGAATTGATCTGTCTATCAAGTACTGTCCCGGTCCTACCTTTTTTGTGTTTCCAAACTGCAAGGAAAGCTCCGTTGATGTTTTCAACTTTTTTACTAGTAAAGAAATTTTGACGGTTCATGCTTGGAAGAGACCAAGAGTAGTTAAAACATGTCCTAGTATAACTAATGGCGTGTACCCTGATGTTTAGCTGATAACACGTAATAAGATTATTCTCGCAGAACTATGGTTAAACCTTTTCTGTTTTTTTTTTTTAAAGTTTATTAAGTCACTTAATTTTTTAGCATTTTATTGTGCTCTAATAGTTTTTCTGTCATGTCCCCGTCATGCTATTTTTTAGATTCCCATACAAGAGAAACCTGGCTTGGAGGATTCCATGGAGATTAAAAAATGGCGCTGGAATGCTAGAAAAGCAAAAAAGGCTAACAATGAGATGCATGCTCAGCGATGTGACACAGAACTTAAGCTTTCTGTAAGTTGGTCCTCTTAGCGTTTGGAGGGCAGCATGTGTTGTCTGAATGTTTTTTTGTTTCTATTTTTGAAGTAGTTTATGTATTCTATTTTTAGGTTTAGCTTTTTTCTTCTCTGAAGCTAAAAACATAAACTCTGAAACAGGTTGCTCGCAAGATGCAAGATGAGGAAGGATTTTACTATCCTCATAATCTTGATTTCCGTGGTCGTGCATACCCAATGCATTCACATTTAAATCATTTAAGTTCTGATCTATGCCGAGGAATTCTCGAGTTCGCTGAAGGCAGACAACTTGGCAAGTCTGGGTTATGCTGGTTAAAAGTTCATTTGGCTAACATTTATGGTGGGGGTGTTGAAAAGCTCTCCTATGATGCTCGACTGACATTTGTGGAGAACCATTTAAATAATATATTTGATTCCGCCATGAATCCTGTTGATGGAAAGCGATGGTGGATTCATGCTGAAGATCCTTTTCAATGTTTGGCTGCATGTATAAATCTTTCTGATGCCTTAACTAGCTCATCACCGCATAGTATGATCTCATACCTTCCCATTCATCAGGTAATTAAACATTGTTAAACTGTAAGAGATTTTTAGGTTTACATTTTGTTATGTTCTGAGCATGTAGAACTCTTGATGATCTTAGACGATCATCAGTGGTTAGGTTGTCTCCATTGTGAAATGCAAACATTTTGGCCCCTCCCCAAACCCTGTTTTGTGAGCCTCATATATGGGGGTGCCCTTCTTTCTTATCTTGGACCAAGATATGTCTGATTGTTGAGCATTTATGTACCAGAAGTTCAGAAATGTGTATGTGCTACATTTCTTAGGTCATGATACCTTTAAAATGACACTTAGAAAATCTTTATTAACATTCCACTTAAGCAAGATGCTAGTTGTACATTTATGTGATATGTTTATCATATTTCATTATGATAACTTCAAATCCTTCCATGGTATAACATTTTATTTCTTGGTGTAGGATGGTTCATGCAATGGTTTGCAGCATTATGCAGCACTTGGAAGAGATAGTGTAAGATTATTTCCTAATGTCTATATAGTCATTATTACCTATGTTGGAACTACTGCATACCGTTTGCCTAAATTTTTTACAAAAAAATTGCATGACCTCAAAGTCTAACCATGTGTTTGTATTTTGATGTTCTCATGCACATTTTCATTTCTTTTTCTTAATTTATTTTTTTCTAAACGTAAGCATTCAAAAGTTTATGTAGTATCATTAATATGACTTTATTTTGTCAAATGTGTGCTACCAATTTTTGTCAAAATTTGTTTAAGTATGCAATGTAATTGTATCTTCTAGATATAATGTATTATTTTTAAAAAATTATCTTTGGTCTCATGTCAGGTTCATCTATGCTTCATGCATGTGTTTCATGTTCACGGGCTTTGAACCAAATTTTCTCTAATATTTCCGGGTTCCCTTGGTGTTATAAAATTTAAGCATAATGATGATGTAGCTTGATTACTTTCTCTCAACCAATTTGATCCCAATGCCTTGGATAAGATTTTTTTTTTTTTAGTTCGGTGGTTTCCAAACTCAAGATCATATTCACGCCTAGTCCTTCATACAATTATACTTGCCATCATATGTTACTTTAAAAAGCTAATGGTTGGAAGGCATCACTCATTCTTCCAATTTACTTAGATGGGTGTAAAGGAAGAGGTCAGATAAGTGATTGGTAGATTGATCTAGGGGTGTCAATTCAGGTCAGGTCGGGTTCGGGTTAAACCCTAGTTGACCCGAGCATAAACGGGTTGACACTAACCGACCCGTCTAGCTAAACGGGTCAGAATTATCAACCCGGACCCAACCCGAGCAGGTTACCGGGTTGACCCAACACGACCCGCCAACCTGCCTTTTTTTGAATTTTGGGTTTAAAGTTTAAAGGGCTAGATGAGGGCATGGTGACCGAGTCACGTGACGGCTTGAATCGAGGTGATTGGGCGGTTAGGTGGGATGGGACTTGGGCGTGGAGTCATGTACCATGGTGATTGGTGAAGGGCCGGCTGAACGAGTGAAAGCGAATGCTGAAGGCGTGGTGATCGAGGCGACTGGGCGTGAACCGCCATCCACAAGGACCGTGATGAAGGGTTGACCAGCTGAACGAGTCGATTGGGTGTGGTCCGCCGTCCACTTGGACTTGGGCGTGTCACGCACTCGCGCGTGTAGCTCCTATCGGCCAGCGAGTTGGGACTTGGATGAACTAAGTCAGTGCAATAAACATCTAATTTATGCATGATCTAACAACTGGATAAGTAAAAAATATAGCCATAAGCAATAAGTATGAATATCAGTAAGGAATGACATAGTATTATGAAGTGTTCAATCATTATATGTACCGTGCTAGTATCAAAATGATAATTTAACTTTCATATTTCTATTCTCGTTCTTATTTATTTTAGTGTTAGAAGAGCATATAATGACTGTTTAGATTTTTGGTGCATTTATAAATCATGTGGTAATTATCTAGTCTGTCAGCCTTTAATAACCATCGATGAGGGTTAAAGTTGCTCCAACATGACAGTTATTAAATGGCCCCTTGATAAAGCTAGGACTATAACTCACAATTATCTAGAGTTAAGAACTAGGCTTATCTCGTAAGTACTTTTGCCTTTCTCTTCACAGATTAGCATAATTATCAATTTATCTCACATGACATGACTTTTCATAAGCTTTATCTTTTAAATTCAATCATAGACCTTTAATATGTACTTAGCATTGTTATGAGCATGTGTTATCAATTTGTATTGACATATATCTAAGGCATAAGACTGACATGTGAAAATAATATCTGGATAATTAAATGTGCACCATAGATCATTAGACAATTGCGAGATTTGAACTATATGGAAATAACATGAACATATAATCATATGCAATATAATAAACTTAATGATAACGCCATATACTATTAACATCCTCATATGAAGAAATATCTACTAGCGTTCAATAATATATATATATATAATTCAAGTTCAATATAATCATAAGAATTAACAAGCATTAGACCTAAGGATATTTTGCTCTCTATATTAGTGATTGTGCATCTTACTGCTAAGCACTATTTAAAATTGCGTAATATGAGGCTCGCCTTGAGGCCCGCCTCAACACAATTCTAGTGAAAAACTCCTCGAGGCTTACGCCTCTAGCTTTTTTATGAGGCTTGCACCTTAGATTGGCTGAGGCACATCTCGCCTCGCTAGCTTGAGGCTTACGCCTCACCCAATTTGTACATATTTTTTTATTAAAACTAACATAAATCACGCCTTCATACACATTCAAGCGCAACAACTGCCTCTCGATTGCCTCTAACTCTAACTCGCAGCCTTTGCCACAACCAATACCGTCGTAGCCGTCACCAACAATCACTTGAAAGTTGCACACCACCACCCTAAAAATTTTGGAACATTAATCTCATATTTATGTTGATGAAAATATTTCTAAAAGATGAACATGATTGAAATAAATTAAAAATAAGCATGTATGGAGGCATTCGACTCTATCGAATGAGGTAGGAGATAAAACAGTTTGTTATGGCGACAACTCAGATAAAGACCACCTTAGTGATGACATTGCACATGATTCCTAAGGTTTTTCCAACTATTTCAGCTTGCTTTAGGAATTAAATGTAAATGATTAGAGAATTGAGAAAGAAGAAATTTGAAGTTAGAACTTGATATTATATGATACTTTATGTAATTTCTATATTTAATATTATTTTGATCTTATAATATTTGAATTTTAATTCTATTTCACATAATTTTTCACCTGTCACTTTATATCTTGTGCAATTTTAGTTTCATATGTATGCAAATTTGTTAATTCATAATTCAATAGGAAGTTATATAAAAATTCACTTTTGACTTTTATTATCACTTAATGCAATTTTTTGATTTTGAGGGTTACGCCTCAAAACGCCTTGAGGCTTACGCCTCTCCTCATGAACAAAAAACGCCTCAATACCCAATTGCGCAATTTTAAACATTATGAATCAACCTCATAATAGATGTTCTTATTTTTATTGCTTTTAAATAATATTAATTTCCTTGATTTGTTCTAATTTAAAAACACAAATCCAACTCAAAATAAACTCAAAACAATTGTCTCATTCAAGCCCTTAAGTCTATCAATCTTGAACCACAATGATTAGCTGAAGAAATTAGGAAAAACTGATTTTTTCTTCAGAAAAAAATGGCTTAGTGCTTATTAATATACATAAGTAATTATATAGTTATAAAATTAATATTCTTTTACAAATCCATCATTGCCATCCGAATTCAACATCAACCGATGCATACACTGGAAAGTATAAACGGATTGATTGCCACAGTATATTTGTTTGGTGTACAATAAAATAATTAAAGTAAATAGTTTTATTACATAGACTTCAGGCTATTGATTAAATTAGTAAATTAATTTATGAATGCGGTTTCCAAACTCAAGATCATATTTACGCCTAGTCCTTCATACTTGCCATCATATGTTACTTTATAAAATGAGAAAAAGCTAATGATTGGAAGGCATCACTCATTCTTCCAATTTACTTAGATGGGTGTAAAGGCAGAGGTCGGATAAGTGATTGGTAGATTGATCTAGGGGTATAATTCGGGTCAACGGGTTGAGTTTGGGTCGAACTCGAGTTCACCCGGGTTCGGGTCGAACCCGAGTTGACGGGAGCATAAACGGGTTGAAACTAACCAACCCGTTTAGCTAATAAACGGTTCAGAATTATCAACCCGGACAGACCCGAGCGGGTTACCAGGTTAACCCGACACGACCCGCTAACCCACCTTTTTTTGAATTTTGGGTTTACAGTTTAAAGGGCTAGGTGAAGGCGTGGTGACCGAGGCACATGACTGCTTGAATCGAGGTGATTGGGCGGTCAGGTGGGATGGGACTTGGGCGTGGAGTCGTGTACATGGTGATTGGTGAAGGGCCGGCTAAACGAGTGAAAGCGAACGCTGAAGGCGTGGTGACCGAGGCGATTGGGCGTGATCCGCTGTCCACATGGACTTGTGCGTGTCACGCACTCGCACGTGCGGTCCTGCGGAGGTGGTTGGACTAGTGCTAGCTCCTAGCAGCCATCGGGTTGGGACTTGGGACGACCCGGAAGCCGAAACAGGCTACTAGGCAAGGGGAGTTAGTCGGGTTATCTGGGTCGACCCGTGGGTTTTCAGGTCAACCCAAACCCGACCCATTTTTCATATGGGTCAAAAATCGGAACCCGAACATGACCCGTTTTCAAACAGGTTGACCCGAACCCAGATTTTTTCAGGTCGGGTTCGGGTCGAGTTTTGGGTCGGGTCAACAACTGGATAAACTAATTCAGTGCAATAAACATCTAATTAATGCATGATCTAACAACTGGATAAGTAAAAAATACAGCCATAAGCAATAAGTAAGAATATCTGTAAGGAATGACATATTATTATGAAGAGTTCAATCATTATATGTACCATGCTAGTATCAAAATGATAATTTAACTTTCATATTTCTATTCTCATTCTTATTTATTCCATTCTAGTATCAAAAGAATACTAGTGAGATAAATGTGGGAAAGCATTTGAGAGCAAATATTTGTATCCTGTTTTTAACTCTGGACCAGTGGATATTTAGCTCTTTATGTGGTCATGCACGTAGGTGAATCTAACTAAATCATATGAACTTGTTTATATTATTTTCTGGGTGTTTCTTTTGTAGATTAATTTTCCTATTCTTATGATCGGCATTATTCTTGGGTGCATTCAACCTTCAGAACTAAAGCTTTGAGCAAGCCTTTAAAAATTTAATATTACAGGCCATAATGACTTTATAGAGTTTTTTTTATCACTTATCCTAAGAAGCAGAGCAATATATTTCATGTTTAATTATCATTTTCAACCTCAAATTACTTTTTGTAGAATTAAAGGCTAATTTCGTTTTATTTTTCTTATTTCTTTTGAATTAATTATGCATTTTGTTTTTGTTTTTTTACTTTTTATTGTACTTTTGATTAATTTCAATTTATTAGTTGGAAGCTGCTGCAGTAAACTTGGTTGCTCAAGAGAAGCCGGCTGATGTTTATTCAGGAATAGCTGCAAGGTAGTCTTACTCTGCCTAATATTGAGTGTTTATAAATATTTTTTTTGTAATCTTTATCTAAAGCATATTGGATTGACATTTTTATAGCATTTCTGATGATCCCATGATGATTTTGTGCTTATAGTGTTCTGTTCCTAAAATTTATTTACTTTTTATTTCAATAGCCTGGATTAACACAAAATATATCATTTAGGAATCGTTCACATTTAAGTTACAATGATTTATATATTCCATATAATTAGAAGTTTAAAAGGAATTTATTTGCTAAACTACAGCAAATAATTTGCTGTTGATGGCTTGATGCAATGTTCCACTTTTCTGCCTTCTCGTTTTGTCTTCATCAACACCTCAGATTTACATGCTATTGCCGCAAATCTCCATGCACAAGCCTTCTAGGTTTTGTAGTTTGTGCATGTTGCCTTTTGGATGATGTTACTAAAGAGACCTGTAACGAGATATCAGAGAAGAGGAGGAGAAGAAGAACACAGCAGAGAGAAGCTCAAGCTCATTTTCATTCATTGATATTCGCTTGGAGTAATACAGTCGTTTTATAGGATAACAGAGGACAGGCAGTTGGAATGTCAGACGACCGTTGGTGGCAGGCTGGCAATGCGGCTTCGCAGGCGATCGTTTCGCCGGAGCTCATGCAGACGATCGTGACGGTAAGATATGCTGGCGGAGCATGATATGTTACGCTAACATCCCCCGTCAAATTGATGGTCGGCCTTGCAGATCGTCCATTTTTGTCGTAGTTCGGCGAACTTGGGACCGGTGAGAGGTTTGGTGTGGAGGTCCGCTGGTTGGTCGGTAGAGATGATATGCTTCACTGTAATCGCCTTGCGATTGATGTGATCATTGATAAAATGGTGATCGATTTCAATGTGTTTGGTTCGACTGTGAAAGACGGGGTTGTTCGCAAGAGTAATAGCGGAGACGTCGCAGAGTATTGGAGTTGGGGTAGATTGTGGAGCTTTGAAGTAATTGAGAAGGCGACGCAGCCAGATGACGTCTGATGATTTGGCGACGGTGGATTGTTTCTTAACGCTCTAGGAGATTAGATTTGGTCCGAGGTATGAGCAGAATCCGGTGATTGATTTACGATCTGTTGAACTGGATGCCCAATCAGCATCGGCATAGGCAGTGAGGCTGAGAGGTCCGTGCTTGACGGTCATGCCGTAGTCATGAGTGCCTTTGATATAGCGTAAGAGACGCTTGAGGCGTTTGAAGTCGGAATTGGTGGGACTATGCATATGCTGACATATTACATTTGTGGCAAAGGCTATGTCTGGCCTTGTCACCGTGAGGTATTGCAGAGAGCCCATGATCTGCCTATAGAAGGTTGGCTTGTCGTATGGTAGAGGATCGACGGTGGACTTAGACTCTTTGGGGGAGATGGGAGTGCTTACTGGTTTTCAGGAGTCCAGGCCAGCTGAGTGGAGAATGTCGCGAGCATAATGAGCTTGGTGCAGGAATAGACCTGTGGAAGTGGATTGAATTTGAATGCCGAGGAAGACATTGGCATTGTCCAGTTGTTTCAGGGAAAATGTCAGCTTGAGCTGTCAGAGAAGTTCCTGCAGAGTGGGTGAATGATTGCCAGACAAGAGGATATCGTCTACATATATGAGTAGATAGAGCTAGACATTGTTCTTGTCGAAGGTGAGCATGGAGGGATCTGCCTTGCTGAATTGAAAGCCGAAAGCAAGAAGAAATGTTGTCAGTTTGTGAAACCACTGACAAGGAGCCTGTTTCAGGCCGTAGAGAGCTTTTCTCAGTTTGCAGACGTGATTTGGGAGGTCAGGATCAACGAAGCCCTGTGGTTGCTTCATGTAAACATCTTCCTGGAGGTCGCCATGTAGAAACGCGTTGTTTATGTCTAGTTGATGAATCGGCCAGCCACGTTGGAGAGCAATAACTAGAAGCACACGGATAGATGGCATTTTAGCCATCGGGCTAAAGGTTTGTTGATAGTTGATGCCCTGTTGTTGACGGAATTCATGAGCTACAAGCCGTGCTTTATAGCGATTTACTGTGCCATTTGTGTTGAGTTTCGTCTTGTACGTCCATCTGCAATCGAGGACAAGGACGTTGTCTGGAGGAGGAATGAGTTGCCATGTCCCTTGGGTTTGTAGAGCCATGAACTCTGATGACATGGCTTGTCTCCAGTGAGGTGATTTATGGGCCTGGACGAACCTTGAGGGAGTGGGATCAGGATCGGTTACAACAAGAAGGTCTAAATTTTTTTTGGGTTTTAGGTGACCGGCCTGAAGACGGGTTATCATGTGATGTTTTTGGGCGGGAATAGGAGAATTTGAAATGTCGGGAGCAGAAGGAATTTGGGTGGTAGTGGTGTCAGGGGAGGGAGAGTTTCGGTGTGAAATGGAGTCATTGGAGGCGAGGGGGAGAGGATCTGAAGATGGTGTCGAGGTACTGGTAGTGTATGTGGAGGTGGGTATGAGAAGTAAAGGAGGAATTGGAGCTGTAGATGTGAGAGTTGGAGATGGTAGGTGAGAGTGGGTGGAGGAGGTATATGGGAAGTGTTGTTCGTTAAAGGTGACGTGCCGAGAGATATGGAGTTTGTTGGTGTGAGGATTATAGCATCGATAGCCTTTGTGAGAGGTGGAGTAGCCAAGGAAGATACAGAGAGATGAGCGAGGGGCGAGCTTGTGAGGTGCTTGAGGCTTGAGCCAGGGATAGCAGGCACAGCCAAAGATCTTTAGATGGGTAAGCGACGGTGTAGTACCATGAAGGAGCCGGAATGGTATTTGATTTTGCAGGGACGAAGTGGGAAGACGATTGATGAGATAATTAGAGGTTTGAATTGCTTCAGCCCAGAAGGTGAAGGGTAGGCTGGCGGCATGAAGAAGTGTGTGTGCTGTTTCGACGAGGTGTCGGTGTTTTCTTTCGAACACGCCGTTCTGTTCGGGGGTATAGGGGCAGCTGTGCTCATGGCGTATGCCGTGCGAGGAGAGGTAGTTATTGAATTCATGGCTAGTGAATTCGCCGCCTCCATCGAATCTTAGAATTTTGATAGACGACGCGAATTGAGTTTGTATAAGAGAATGAAAGTGTTTGAATTTAATGATGGATTCGTTTTTAGAATGCATTACATATAGCCAGCAGTAACGCGTACAGTCATCTATGAAAATAATGTAGTTGCGAAAACCAGAGAGAGGGAAGGGGAGAAGGCCCCCATACGTCTGTATGTATTAAGGTAAAAGGAGTATTTACATGGTGAGCATCCTGTGGGAATGGGAGCTTGTGGCTCTTGGCCACTTTACATGAATTCCAGATAAAATGTAAAGACTTAAATCTAGTGTTCGGTAGGAGCCTAGATAGAGTGATCATCGAGCGGGGATGTGGATGACCCAGACGAGCATGCCAGAGGGCAGTGGAGTCAGCGTCGGTGTGGAGAGCGTGAACTGGAGCTGGTCGAGGAAGACGTATTGGGTAGATTCCTTCACGGTTGGGGCCATGGAGGAGGATTCAGTTGTCCTGAAGGTCCTTGAGAGTGAAGCCATGAGAGTCAAAAGAGATCGAGCAGTTGTTATCCTTTGTTAGTTTAGATATAGATAAGAGATTATGAGCAAGAGAAGGAACGTGAAGGAGGTTTTGTAATTTTAGCTTACGATTTGTTTCTGGAAGTGGGAGAAGGCCGGCACCTGAATGATGTATAGGTAGGGAGGAGCCGCTTGCTGTCGATATTGAATCAATTCCCTGATATGGGAGGGAGTGTTGCAGGTTTGTGATGTCTGGTGTGAGGTGGGTGGAGGCACCGGAGTCGAGTACCCAGTCGGTGGAGGAGCTGGGTTGTGTGTTTGGGTGAGTAGAGCACGGTTGTATAGGCTTTGCTGTGTATAATTGGAGTTGTAGCGATGCCAACAGGCTAAAGCAAGATGGCCCGTTTTGCCACAGATTTGGCATGTGGGTCTATCGGCATTGCGGGAGGAATTGATCCCTGGTTTAGCCTGTGCTGTGGATGAACTGAAGGTAGCTCCCCTGCCTCGACCTCCCCTATAGTTTTGATTGCGTCCGCGTCCTCTTGAAGAAAATAGAGCTTGTAGCTCAGGAGTGGTCGTCGTGTCCTGTTGGACCTTCGTTTGTAAGTTTATCTCTTCACTGCATAGCAGTGAGTGTAAATTCAAGTGTCATAGGTAGCAGAGAGATCCTGATGGCCGCTTTGAACGGATTGAAGGTGGCTGGTAGGCCTTTGAGTGTATACAGAATTATATCTTCTGTATCTACATATCCTCCAACGGCAGAGATGTTGTCAACAAGTGATTTCACTTTACCTAGGTATTGAGAGATCGTTTGATCCCTCATTTGGACGTTATGCAGTTCATTTTTTAACTGTATAACTCTTGATCTGTTTGTTGGTTGCAGCCTTAGTTTCAGTGCTCTCCAAACTTCGCAGGAAGTTTTGATGTGTAAAATGTAAGGGAGGACAGAGGAGGAGATGGTGGAGAAGAGGGCCAGAATGAGGTTTTGGTCAACAAGCTTCCAGAGCTTGTGATCGGTTTCGGAGGTTTCTGGCGGGCAGATGACCGTGCCGGTGATGTAGCCTTCGAACCCATTGGCGGAAAAGGCCTAATAGATTTGAAGCCTCCAGATGGCATAATTATCAGTAGTGAGTTGAGTGTGAACTATAAGTTTAAGGTTGGTCATCAAAAATTTGAGTGATGGGGGTATAACGATGGCAGCCATTGAAGAGGATAGAGAGGACGAGGTCCTGGATTGAGTAGAGGAGTTGGGTTTGGTCATTGCTGATGGAATTTTGAAGAAGGCCCAGTGTTACAAGCTCTGATACCATAAAGAGACCTATAACGAGATATCAGAGAAGAGGAGGAGAAGAAGAACACAACAAAGAGAAGCTCAAGCTCATTTTCATTCATTGTATTCGCTTGGAGTAATACAGTCGTTTTATAGGATAACAGGGGACAGGCAGTTGGAATGTCAGACGACCGTTGGTGGCAGTCTGGCAATGCGGCTTCGCAGGCGATCGT